TGATTGCTCACTTTATGCTTGACTACTCCTTTACTTTTCTTGTGTTCTTTCTCATCAGCATACACTTTATAGCAATATGCTTTTGGTTTCAATCCTATAAAGTGAGTAATTATTTTACCGTTCATTTCATCCTTGAATTTTCCTAATACCTTCTTGTTTGTTTTATCATAGTTTGGATGTTCTGCTGGATAATCACTAAAATCCATATATTCATTAATTTCTTTGAAGTCTTCATATAAGTCATCAGTCTCAACTTTTATTACATAACTATCAGTATCAGTATATACCAACTTAATTTTATCATCATATTTTGGTTTCAAAACATCATAGTAAAACGAATACATGTGAATTTTAGAATAGTCTAAAATAGACATACCCATATAAATAGGTTTGTTTAGTTCCACTGTGTGTCTATCTTTTTCAACAATTACAAGGTCTTCATTTATGATATACCTGTGCTTGAATAGCGGTTTATTTACCAGTTTTTGGAAGCGTTCAGGCGTATTGACAATTTCAAAATCACCATGCTTTCTTACATTCTCCATGGTCTTGCCGTATACACTGTTATTCATTAGCTTAAACAAATCTTTTTCAAAATCATTTTTGGCATTCTTTCTCTTTTCAGTGTTGAATTCAATGAATGGTTTTAGGCAGTTTGCTTGTTTAAAACTTATTGCCCTATGGACTTTTCTAAGACTTAATCCATGCTGTAAATAAAACTTCAGTGCTGATATATGTAAAACATACTTCTTTTTACCCATAACATTTAATACTAATTTATTTGCCATTTCATCACTGGCATCTTTTCCATAATAGTATTTGTGTATATCCTTTTGGACTTGTGAAAGCATATTCTCATTGATACACATGATTTCAGTGGATAGTCTTTATGTAAATCATGTAGTTCTTTTGGATAATCTAAATCAACTTCCAATATGTATCCTATGTCATCATCATCACAATATTTCATTACTCTCTTTTCATCCATTCTACCGTAATGCCATTTAAAATCATCATAGGGAAGTTTCTTACACATTGCTAATCCGTAAAGATTATTAGCATCCAAATAACTTATGTACGATGAAGGTTTAGATTTGTCACAATCTTCATTCATGTATTTATTGTTTGCTTCTACTTTCTTGAAGGAGCACTGTGTCATTCCTCCTCTTAAGCCATTTTCAATCATTTCATACATTTCTTTTATGTGTATTTGTTGTAGTCTAACTCCTGTCAATGATAAAAAGGCATTCCAAGAATAGTTAGGTAAAGTGATATAATATGCTGGGTCTAAACCATAATAGTTTAAGCACATATCCCTAAAATTTTCAAAAACATCCGTTAGTAAATATACATCAGTCATCAAATACAAATCATGATACTCACCAAGATTCTTAATGCTAAAATGTTTCCATACAATATTTGCGCTGGCGTAGTCTTTGTCAGTTATGTTTTCTTCATACAATTGACTGTAAAAGTCTTCTTTCTTTGGTAGTTTTGTTTCATCAAATTTATCCCATGAATTCATATAGTCGTATGGATATACACCCTTATCAGTCAGTAAATTCAAATCAGTTTTAGATTTAATGTATGGGTTGGTGCTTGTATATCTGAAACGAGTTTCCCAATCTTTAATCTTTTCGTTTCCCTCATATTTGTTTAATCTAACTAATTTATCCAATGACGCAGTTAAAAAAGCAAAACTATCTTTAAACTGACAGGCACCAAATGAAAAGGTTATGAACTTTTCGCTGTTTTGTGCTATTACCTCTATTCTTTTGTTTTGGTTTAGTTCTATGTTTAGTTCATTTGCTCTGGCAATGATTAAGTGAGCGTCATAGTTTTTAAGATTATGAAAGAAGATAGGGATTTTGAAATATCTAAATGAATAATCCAAATTACATTTTACATGCGCTGCGCCTCTGTATTTGCCTGTGAAGTGGCAGTGGTCTTGGACTTTTGTATCATCAGGTTGAAATTTCTTATTACATATAGAGCAGTGGGCCGCGTTTCTAAATTCTGTCTTTTGTTCGTAAGTTAATTCATCCATTGGTTTATTAACATTCATTTTTTCAAATATATATTTCTTAATTTCAGTCAGTTTTTCAACAAACTTTTTCATACAATCCTTACCTCTGTATAAGTATGGTTGGCATGCATTATCAATCCTGCTTACGACATTCAACATATAACCGCATGGTTTATGTTCCTGATATGTCCCTTTAATGCCATTGTTAGAATTAGTCGTTAGACACTCAAAATCACCATAGATTACAAAAGGGCAAGTTAATTTAGTATTATGCTTTTCAAATTCTATATAACTACCTTTATCAGGCTTTTTTGTTTGTTGTCCTTCCGATGCCATACATCCTTTTTCAAGATGGTTCTTATATGCCTTTTCTGTTTGAAATGGATTTAAGCAATGGTGGCAGTAGTGTTTTTGTTTTGTATTAGCGTTGCTTTGACAGTTAAGTAATCTGCTTTTATTTTTTACTAATACATAGTGATAATTATTATCTTCATCATAGATTTTTAGTAAATCAATTTCGTATTTACCATTTCTGTTTTTAGTGCCTCTATGTAATATAATCTTATTATCATTGGAGCAGTCATCGGGTTCAAAAACATTTATTGAAACTGATTTATTGTTCTCTTCAAATCTGTCAATGTCCCTGTTGCCAGTTGGAAACTTTACACTGTCCCATTTCAAAATATCATCTTTCAGTTTATTATAGTGGAACATTTCCTCTGGGTGGTGTTTGCTTATTTTGTCATAGACTACGGATTGAATACAATATTTGAAGCATTTTTGGTCTTTATTTTTAATGTTGATACATGTTTTTTTTAGTCTAATCCAGTCAGGTAATTCAAAATAACTTCCTGCTCTTGTTGGGTCAAATTTGTCATAGTGAATTGTTATGCTTAAAATCTTCTTGAACCTTAAATTAGATGTTGATGCTTCTAAATTTTGTATTTGTAATAGTATTTGCGTAACGCTTCTTTCTAATGCTTGTGTCAATTCTTCTTCATTATGAATAGGATAGTATGTTGATGGTAAAGCATATACGAGTTCCTGACTACCAATTTCATTTCCTCCATCATCATACTCGGGTTTTTCAAATAATCCCTCTGTTCTTATGTTGAGTTTCATGTTTCTATTTGCTCTTAAAAACTCTAATATTCTTGGTTTTTGGTGAGCAGGCATGTCTAAACGTCTTTCACCTTCATAGTGTTTATTTTCTAAAACTATTGAATTAGCATATCTTCTAAATGCTGACTGAATATCCCTGACACGAAATTTGTTTCTTATAGCATGTTTGGTTAGTAATTGTTTTACTCTTCCTTCATTTAATTTATCTTTTGCCTTGTTTAAAGCATAACTCCTGTATTCATTGGTTTTCTTTGTTGTTAATAATTTCTTTGTTAATACATTAGAGATGGGTTTATCTTTATTGTATCTAAATTTATTGTCATCTATAATTATTGTTTTTAATTCCTTTCTTCCTCTTTTCGGAATTTCTGCTAAATCATTATTCAATAGATAGTCTATAATATTTTTCATCATATCAAGTTCTATATATTTATTAACTTAATAAGTCTTTAAGTGTTCTTCACTGAATATAAACTTAAAGATGTAATATCTTATAAAAATAGCAATATTATGGTGCTATTTAATTATCATGGATGTAAAAAAATGTCAATCAAAGATGAATGACACTAAATTAGTATTAAGCAATATTTTACCAGCAAATGTCTGTGAGAAGATAAGTTCTTACAATGTATATTGTAATAGATGTTGTATAACCAGAGACCTTGAAAAATTCTTTGTTGAAGAGCATAAGGACAAGGGATATACAAAAATTTTAATTACAATTGAAATTCTTTATGAAGCATCAGCAAAGGTTTCCAGTATGTTTTTATCATAAGATTGCTAAAAAGTCATTTGAAAAAGAGGTTGATAAGTTCTTTGAAAATGAGGATTTGATTAGAAGATTTGGAGGTGCTACTGAGATAAAACCATACAAAGCATTTGTTAAAAAGCACCGAGATTTATTTGAAATGATTGACTGGCATTTATTAAGTAAAGAAAAAGTAAAAGAAGTGTTCCAAGACTTTGGTGCTAATAAACACTGTGTATGGTATTACTATAACACAAAATATAGAATAAGTCTTTTGATTAGTTTATTCTTTTGGGAATATATCTATGCTATAATAGGTGAAGATAATATTAAATACATTGAATTAGATGATATAGATAAATATTGTGATTATATATTTGAAGATTTACTGCCTGATTGGTATTTTTGACCCATAGATTTCATATTAATTAAATATGAAAATTTATGATAAGATTTATATTTATTTTTCTCAATTATCTTATGTATCGGCTTTACCATTGCTGGGATGTGGGTTTAATACATAAACTCTTTGAGTTTATGCTTAAACCCCATCTCATAGGTATTAGCAATACAATGGGCTTTTGAATGAGGGTAATTACTTATTTTTCTGTTTTGATTTGTGGTATAGTCTTCTTTATGGTCTATTGCATTGTTTAGGTTGTTTTGGTTTTCTTTTGTTTTGTTGTTATGATTTATGTTATAGAATGGATGAGGTGATGATGTGATAGGCTGTGATGATTTTATGATAATGGATGAGGTGATGATGTGATAGGCTGTGATGATTTTATAATGGATGAGGTAAATGATGGTTGGTAGTGATGAATTTATTGAAAATGAATGAGATTGAGATATGGTTAGTAGTGATGATTTATGACAATGAATGAGAGGATTGATGTATTGACTGTTATGATTTTATGAAATGAATGAGATGAAGATATAGGAGGTTGTTCTGATTTTATGGAATGAATGAGGTAAAGTTGGTTGGTTGTTATGGTTTGTTTATGAATAATTTTTGAGTTGTTATACTGCTATGATATTAGTTTAGAAAACTTCCTTAAACATACCTTCTTAACATTTTTTTGGGGAACCCCCGGGGTTCCCGGCTCTCGCTGAAGGACTTGATGGTGCCACTGGAGGCAGTTCCCTTGACCTTGGGCGCGTTCTTCGCAGCCCACTGCACCAACTCCTTGGCAGCTGATTCGCTTACCAGCAACAAGATCTTAGATGATCTTAGACTGGTAAAACCACGGAAAAGATCTGAGGAACAAAATCTCACCATGTAACATGATGTAACATGATCTAATTGTATCTATATGTTTCAAATCTTGGCAACCAGTCAACTCGTCTTAGTTTGACGAGTCCAGGCTCCTCTTCCGGAACTGATTCATGAAATCCTCCAAAGTTACGGACTGATCAGACTATTCACGGCGGATTGCCGGATTGCCATAAAGAATAGGAGAGTCCTCCTCCTCCTCATCATCATCATCCTCCTCCCTCCCACTTAGTCCATGGAAAAAATCACTGTGACTCAAACTTCTCCAAACATGAATGGTTCGGCCAACAGACATCCAAATCTGCTGGAAACATCTGGAAACCAGTGGGGGCCTGCTGCCAAGTTTCTAGGCTGCACAATTGCACCTCGCAAACGTCCGGGTGTTGATACCCTTTGGTAAAATAACATAGCTATGGTAAATGGCCATTTATAGTGAGTTTTCCCATTAAAAATGGTGATTTTCCATAGCTATGTTAAATTACCAGAGGGTAATCCCATCAAATTGAATTCTGACAAATTTTGGAAAACAACCCGTCCATGTTTTGGAAACAACATGTCTCAAAAACGAACCCAGGCTCTGCATTTTGTAAAAAAATACAGCCATCCAAAAATTCGGGGGGGAACACAGTGAACACGGCAACGGCAACCGACGGGACGATCGCCAAGTCGCATTGATTGCCCGAGACCTATTGTCCTGGCGCCAGGACGTTCCATGATTCCAGGGTGGCTCCGTCGGATGTTGATCCAGCCTGACTAGCCCTAAACCCTGACTTCATTTACTTCATTTCACATAGATTCACATAGATTCACATAGATTCACATAGGGGGTGTGGTTTTGTAGTTTTTGTAGAAAATATGAAAAACCTGAAGCATGCCACATGGAGGAATCGAAGCATCTTCTCTGACCAGAGCGATTGAATCATTGAATTTCATCCAGAAATGGCACCAAAAAATCCTGAAGGCCACAGAAACGCAGCTGATGCAGCAGTTCGCCACTGGTCGGCTTTTATACCAACGGCACCCAATGGCACCTTGCCGAGGGTGACCTCAAACTGAACTGGCTTTCCTTTAAGATCTTTCTGCGATTCCTCAGAGGAGAATCGTGCATTCCTTCAAGCGGCACGTCTCCATAGCTATAGCGGGGTGTATGATGTTAAAGGCCAATTGGACATTGGATGAAATTGGTTAGAAAATGCTCCAATTTCTTATCTGTTTATGTATCCATCGATCTATCAACCTATCTACTGCATATGGCTATAAATCCCAACGTAACTGGGATCATCCACAAGCTCGTTGTTTGCTGAGCACCACACCGACTGCAGGTCGGAAGACAGTTCTGTCTTTGAGAAAAAAACGTCACCTGGCTGCCGGGGCCATCCTGGTTGGGCCATGGCAGGGAGGTTTCCGAAAAAACCAGGAGGTAGCTCCAAATCATCCAGTCGTCATGACCATTTCAGTATTGAAACCTGGGACCTGGGGATCCCCTGTATTTGAACCCCTGTATTTTAACAAAGAATGAAAACACTAAGATAATGATAATTACATATAATGACTATTACCATCCGGTTATTTAACATAGCCATGGAAAATCACCATTTTTAATAGGTAAACCATCTATAAATGGGCAATTTTCATCAATTTTCCACGGCTATGTTAAATAACCAGAGGGTAAGAGGCTGATATCATTTGGGATAGTTAAAGGGCCCTGGCCTTCAGAGGCCACAGCGGATTCGATGAATCCAAAGCCCTTCTCAGCCAGAAAGGTCTTGACCTCGCATCCCAAGCACCATGAATTCGGATCCAAAGGAAATCCATGAATTACCCTCTGGTTATTTAACATAGCCATGGAAAATGGCCCATTTATAGATGGTTTACCTATTAAAAATGGTGGATCTTTCCATGGCTATGTTAAATAACCAGATGGTAAATGTCCATTGTACCATCAATGTCCATTGTCAAAAAAATCTCTAGGAACAAAACTTGGCCACGTTTTTTTGAGCTCCGCGCAGTTCCGTATTGACAGGACTGCCCCTGGGCTGGCTGGGTGGACTCTCTGAGGCCACAGCAATATCAGTGACTTCTTGTGATCTCAGTATCATCCTATATCATCCTATTTGAACAACATCAGAGATCTGATCTATATCGCGAGAGAGGCAGAGAGCGACAGATAGATATATTATCATCATTATTACTATTATTATTGCTAATATTGTTATCATTATTACATATTATTACTATTATTATTTATTATTGTTATTATTCTTATTGTTATTATTCTTACTATTATTGATATTATCATTATTACTACTAATTATTTTCTATCATTCTTGTTATTATTATTGTTGTTGTTATGAATGTTGTTAAATTATTCATATTAATTGTTATTACTAGTTTTGTTATTATTAAGATTATTGTTATTATTAATTATTATGATTGTTATGATTATGATGATTATGATTATTGTTATTATTAATTATAATTATTGTTATGATTATGATTATGATTATTGTGCTTATTCTATAATAATAATTATTATTATTATTATTGTTATGATTATGATTATTATGATTATTGTTATTATTTACTATATTTTATTATTATTGTTATGATTATGATTATTGTTATTATTAATTATTAGTAGTATTTATTATTAGAGAGATAGAAGGGGCGAGAGAGACTCGTATACAACCCGGTAACCCATAAACTGTGGTAAACCCAATCATCAAAGCCAGTTGGGATCAGTTGGGCATGCTTTACTGTTGGCTTTTCCTCCTCACTGGTCAAGGCACGCCGTAGCCCGAGTAGGCAGACATGGGATCCGCGGCAATGCCTCGGACATGGAAAAATCAACCAACTCCTGACCGCACATCACGGAGTTTGGTCCACTTGGGAATTTGTTTCAACTTTCAGCAACAATCAGCCACGCCACCTGGTGTCCCTGAGCCTTTTCCAGTGCCAGTGGCATAACCTCTGCTGTGCCAAAGGGAATCGGAATTTTGCGGAAGTGTTGCGAGGCCACAGGTGGATTGTGGTGGAAAAACCAGATAAAAAATAATTTAAAGAAAACCTTGAGGCAACCCATTTCCAAGGTTTAAACCATTTAAAACATGGTCAAGACCCACTGAAAATAACTGAAGTTCGAAGGTTTTACCCATGTTTAACCCTGGCTGTCAACCCAGCACCCAGAGATCTCACCTGCTGCTGACATCTGCTGCATATACGCGGTATAGTCCGGAGAGCCGTAGCCAGGATAGGCCGCCTCAAAGGACTCAAACACCATCGGAATCGACGGATTCCCCGGGGGGGTTCCACGTGTGGAAGAAATGATTGATTTTGACACATCCCAATATGAGCAGTTCTGGAAACCTGGACCAAAAAAAGGTGCCTTCACCAAAAAACGACTGAAAAAATCAGGATGTTTGTGTACCTCAGAAATCCTCAGAATGATGATTCACCTCTTCCAAGTCCCTTCTACTGGTTAGTCTCCATACATTCCCATGATGTTCATTCTCCTTGCATCAACGAACCGGGTGCCAAGGTGCTGAATAACCGTAGCCTGGATAGGCCATGGCAGCCTCTGACGCACCATGGCTTATCAGGGGGACATGTTAAAAGTCTTCGTCCAAAAAGAGGCTACCGAAAATCCAATTGGTTCCTTTTGGGGGGATCCAATTGATTTATTTTGAGGAAAATGCACCGTTTTTGGACTGACTAGCACACACCTGAAAAATCGTTGCTCTTCTGTTTTGCCGAACGTTGGAAACTGACAACTGGCCACCAGCATCCACGTGATATACACACTGGAACTCTGCACCCATAATGATGTCGAGTCACATAAGAATACGCCTCAGATGTGATTCGGGCACTGTTACTGACTGTTACTTGCTTCCTTGAGGGCCGCTACAAAGGTTCAAACCAGAAATCTCAACAAATCCTGCACCGCGGCAGATAAAGACTCCAAGCAGATCAGAGCCAAGTCACCGAAGGATATGCCTGGGCAAATCTAGGTCGTTCAGTCGTTCGCAGTCATTTTGGGGAATCAATCACTTTGATCCAAAACTGGTAGCACTGCGATCCTGCCCCACTCACAAAAAACCAGCAAGACCGGTGTTCCCCGGCAGTTTTTCGCTCCCTCGACCTGGGACCATCTTGGAAGGATCGATTCCCGGCATGAGATCAATCTGCCAAGACGCGTATCCATACCTCAGGGTCCAAAAAGATCAAAATTGCACAGTGATTTTGGGGGATTGGTCAGTGTCCATCTATTTGGATGTTCAAGGGTACGAGCACGAGGGTCTTGACCACCAAACGCGGGAACCTCCCATTTCTTGCTGTATCCACTTTCTTTGCGAATCTAAAAAACACCCACAGTCCAAAGCATCAAAACACCATTCCATTCGGATTACTCCACAACGATGGGAAGGAACATGCTTCCGCTGGAGAATCTGAGACCATCCACAACTTCAAACCCAATCTCAATCATTTCATCCCTTTCCCAACCCCAAGTCTACCGTCATCCCTTCCCCAAATCAAAACCACTTGAGGAGCAGCTGTCTTCGTCCATCCTTGTTATATTTGAGCATGTCTATAGAAGCTCTAAAATTAGAGCTCACACGCTGACTTTGACCTGACTTGCAAAATGTACTTCTTTGTACTTTTCAACCATCCAATTTCGAGTGCAATTCAATTTTCAGCCATCTTCCCACATCGGTGCCGGAACCATCCAGAACCATCCGGGTTTCAAATCCCCCGCCCACTCTGTGCTGAGCCGCGGCATCATCATGGAGTAGCCTGCCATCGCAGCATTCGCTTCTTCCTTCTCTTCGGCGTCAGAAGAGGAGTCGGAGCCATCGTCGGACATCGGCGCAGGGTGTTCACCACAGGTCACGACACCTGACAGGGGAAATTGATACCACTTGGTCAGCTGATGTTGTCTTTTTTTCCCTGGAACGTCCCGTGAGTAGGTAAAAAAACATATGAAGACTCCGTGTAAACTCAAGGTTGGAGTTTGGGTCACAACACAGTGGTTTGACAAGCTCGGGTTTTGTAAGTTTTTACCAAGCTGAAGAGGACCTGGGGAAAAAACACAAACTTGACATTGAGACAAGCTTAGACTGGACCCTTTGACACCTCAAACCCCTCATGGAGCCAACACGGGTGGATTACCAAGGGATCCACAAGCAAATTGTGCCAGATGATCCACAACCCAACCCATCTTTTGGCCGAAAACCCGTGGCTCCTTGTTTGCATATCTAGCTTCCCAATTGGGCACGACTCTCAACATGGTATTTTCCTATCTGCAGCCTGATCAATGAAGGCAACTCCCACTTTTTCATGAAAATTGGGCTGAATAGTTTACGGAAAACACAGAGTTTGAATGTATCTTTGGTCTTTGGTCTAACAACATTATGTATCTTCGGTACTCCTCACATGGAAAAACCATCTACAAAAGCCACCGCGACATGGGCGCCCAACATGGACCTAGGGTCAGCAGTGACGATTGGTGCCAATGGCGCCAACGTGAAAAATTCTCAAGTCTAGTCTAGCTTTCAGCTGAGAAAGCTTTCCTGGGTCCGTCCAAAATCTTGTTTTGTAGCTTGACTAAAATACCAACAAATGAAATTCTGAGACAATGTATGCCAAAGAAACTCGATGACTTGTCTGTTGATCTGTCACTGACTGCAAAATTGTTTAAGCCTGTGTCAAGTTGGCTGCTGTGACCACAACCTCAAAATCACGAATGGACGAGGAACCAAGCGCTGCAGTTTTATGTAGTTTTATGCAGTGTTGCAGACATTGTGGGTGCCCATCACATGTTGTGCTGTCTTTCCCCATGTTTTTCCCCAAGAAAAGGCAGCTGTTGGGAGTAAATTTGCATGGGATAATTCCTGGCGGTGCCTCTGGGCCGCCGATGGCGGAGCTGTCATCACGAATCATGCTAAGCTGGAGCCAAAGATCGGCCGAGCCAGTTAATTTTGGTTGTTTCTCATCCTTTGCTTCCTTTCCGTTGTAGTAATGTCTGTGTAGTTCCCTTTGATGTTTTGATAATAACTTTTCTTCTACTTTCATATTTTCGGGTGCTAATGGATAATCTGACTGTTCGTCTTGTATTTCTTTTGAATACTCTAAATCAACATCTAATATATAAGCAAAATCATCGTGTTCGTTCCAGTCCATTATCATCTTTTCATTCAGTAGTTTCTTTATCCATTTCAGTTCTCCTATGGGTAGTTTCATTGACATTGCCAGTCCATAAAGGTTATTAGCATCTAAATAACTGATGTAATTAGATGGTCTGCTTTCATCATATTCGTCTTCCATATATTTATTGTTTGCTTTTGCTTCCTTATGACTGACTTGACACATACCACCTCTCAAACCCTTCTCAATCATCTCATACATAGTCTGGTCGGTCAATGGTTCTAATATGACACCGTTTTTAGAAGCATAGCATCCCAAGCAAAGTTAGGAAGGGTAAAGTAGTGCGCGGGGTCTAATCCATAGTATTCCAAACAAAGGTCTCTCAAATTTTCAAAGACATCAGTGAGCAGTAAAACATCAGTTCTCAAATACAAGTCGTGGTATTGACCAAGATTTCTAATACCGAAATGTTCCCATATCTTTTGTGCTCTTTCGTATTCATCATCTTCAATATTACTTTCGGTAAGATTGCTGTAAAACTTTTCTTTTGGTGGTAATTGTTTGTCTCTAAACTTATCAAAGGAAGTGAAGTAATCATAAGGATAAACACCTTTATCGGTCAATAAATCTAAATCTTCGTCGTTGCCAACGTAGGGTTTCTCTTACTGAACTTGAAGTTGTTTTGCCAGTTTTGTTTCTTCTCTCCATCTTCATACTTACTCAACTTGACTAACTTATCCAAAGAAGACGATAAGAAACTGAAACTGTCCTTAAAGCAAAGGTTTTTAAAAGCAAAGGTTATGAACTTTTCACTGTTAAGTGCTATGACATCTATTTTCGCTCTTTCTGATAGTTCATTTGCTCTTTCAATGATTAAATGACTGTCATAGTTCTTAAGGTTATGAAGGAAGACTGGTATTTTGTAATATCTCATTGAAAACTGTAAATTACAATCATCGTGAGCACATCCCCTATATCTACCTGTAAAGTGGCAATGGTCTCTACATTTCTTATCACCTTCTTTAAAGTCTTGACCGCATATAAAGCACTTCGTCGCTGTCTTAAAGTCTCTCCTGTCATCCACTCTCATTATTATATCCTTGTTTTCTTTCATCTTATCCATTATCTTATCTTTAACTTCAATCATTTTCTTCACAAAAATATCCATACAATCCTCGCCTCTGTATAAGAAAGGTTCGTTTGAATTATCAATGGAATTGACAACATTAATCATAAAACCGCAGGGTCTGTGGTGTTGGTATTTGTCAGTCTTCATTTCTTTCGTTGAAACTGTCCCCGTTCTTGTTGTCAAACATTCAAAATCAGCATAAATAACAAAAGGTGCTTTTAGTTTTTTATAGTGATTTTTGAATTTGATGAAGAACTTGTCGGGGTCATCTCCATCAAATGATGGCATTTCTATTCGTTGTCCTTCAACCCACATACATCCCTTGTTCGACTGCCTGCCTGGTTGGTTGGAACAAGACAACGAACCCTCAGTGGGGAACAGCCCCCACCCCGGCGCTGGTTTGCAGCGCAACAATGGCCTTGTGAGTGAGTTGGAGTGCGGCTGCGTTGCACATCGTCCAGTTTTGTGAGGATGTGATAAGCCTTGCCAAGCAATCAAGAAATCTGTGATGCCAGATCTCACAGAAGAAAGCCCGCTTCCCAGTGGATCTGTCATCTTGCGCATTCCAAACATCCCTATCCCTAGGTCCCTGTTTGGTGCCAATTCAGGATCTTGTCGTTGTGAAACTAGCCAAAAAGATCCAAAAAGCCAAAACTTCTGAGAGAACCTGCTTTGCCCGCGCCTCAGGCTTATCACCATGTTTTTCTCAAGTCCCCCACCACCTTCTGACTCACAAATGGCTATGGCTCCCTTGCCTTGTCAGCCTTGCCGATGCGTAGGTCACTCTCCAATTCATCCTTAGCTTTGGCTGGCTGTACATGGGAACGGCTCGTCAAAACACTGGCACCCTGGAGGATCTTGGTGCATATTTCGAAGATGTGCAGAATACTCTAGGTCAGGAGATCTGAATAACAACTCTATCTTGGAGCTATGTGGTAACTTTGTAGTAACCCAATATCCACATCATCATCATCATCAAACATTTCGGGCAAGGTTTGGAAGGGTTTCCTGTGGTTTTGCACCTTAGAGCAATCCCCTCAATACTATTTCAAGCCCCAGTCTGGTCTGTTGGTGAATTCCACAGCCAGTCACAGCCTTAGAAACAGGTAGATTAACATCTGAAGATACTGCAGAAGATTCTGGCAACGATGTGTTGGGATGTTCAAAAACAGGACAAGCAAGGTCTCCTGTATGGGCCCTTAAACTAACCCATCCATTGAAGTCCCGTTGGGACTGATCCCCCCAGGTTCCACAGGTCCAATAGAGGACTGCTGCCATGGCACGATCAGCTGCCTCTCTTCCGGGTCGATCTCATCATCTTCACACTGCAAAGGCACTGTGGAGTGACCCTTTGGCCCTTGCGTTGTTTAATATGAGTGCCATTCTGGGACTCCGCAGACTCCCACTTTCGCTCCCAGAATCTAGTCTAGAAAATGGGAAAATCACTGTAAAATCCATGAAAATATTCACGCATCTACACCATCTTCCAGGTCCAGCTCTGGATTCCCCCCCCTGCTTCCCAAAAAGCTGCCTGACGTCGCTGAGCACCTCGATACCCAATGGTTTTTAGGGCCAGAATCTTCGAAATCAGCAGCACTTGGTCATGGCTCCCGGTGAACACCAAAATGGCAGGGATTTAGGGAGTTCATCATCCCCCAAAAATATGGTAGGTAAAATAAGTTTCGGTGGCATCCCCATCAGCAGCAGTAATTTATTTTCACAATTGTTTCGTCCGAAATTTGCTGGACCACACTCCCGGAATCGCACCGGAACCTACTTGAAGCCTCGTTGAACCTGGCCACACCAAAACCCTTCCGGAACCTTCTCCAGAACCGAGCCTGACGTGGCTCTGCACCACTCCGAAACCCTGTTGAACCTGACATGCCTCTGCACCAGACCTCCTTCTCCGGAACCCTGTTGAAACTGACCTGGCTCTGCACCAAAGTCTCCCAGACCTTCTCCGGAACCTTCTCCGCTCCGGAAACCTTCTCTCCGAAACCCTGTTGAGCCTGACCTGGCTCTGCACCAAACTCTCCCAAACCTTCTCCGGAACCTTCTCTGGAATCCTGTTGAGTCTGACCTGGCTCTGCACCAAAGCCTCCCAGACTTTATCCGGAACCTTCTCCGGAACCCCGTTGAACCTGACCCGGCTCCTGCACCAGTGCACACCGGAGCTATTCTGGGCTGAAGACCCCATTAGCTTACGCTGTTGGGGAATAAGTTTTGATCCATCCCATTTGGGTTCTAAGTCTTCCTATATTCCCGTAAACTTGTAGGAGTCAAGGGGGGACAAACTGAGTCCCTAAACATGCTTGCGCCATGTTGAACAGTGCCAAACACAGCAGATTCCCTCCTAACCCTTTCTCAGTAATCTTTTCTGTGGAGAAAAGGAATATCAACGGCGGACTAATCAACCCTGACTGGTAACTGATGGGGTCCCAAAATAGTTACTAGCAACAACCAAAATTGCTACCCACCCATGAAAACTGCTAATTTCTAGGGCCAAGAAACACTCCCTCATGAGCTTCACGAACTCCTGGCTGTGGGAAACTAAGCCAGCTCAGCCACACTTCGAAGTACGTATATTTGGGTGTCAAATAGGTAATTAATAGTGAATACCATCTAAAAGAGGGATGCACATCCATTTACAACTCTTCGCCACACATTTTATTCTCGGGCAATCAAACGTGGTTTGCTGGAAAATCCACCATATAGTTCCATGATTTTCCCAGCTAGAAACTTCCAAATTTAGTTCATGGATTTCCCAGGCAGCCATGTTTACTAGAGGGTAATCCCAATCATCATCAAATATCATCAATAACCATGAAAATAAACACGATTTTTCCATTATATACTAACCATTAAAATATTAGTCACCATTGATATACTATTGATATAGCATTGATATAGCATTGATATAGCATTGATATTATTTTGCTATGAGTTTCTCGGGGGAATCGCCTCTGATCAGACGCCAGGATCCTCGAAGTCAAGGGAGCCATCCCCGTTCTGATCGAAGTTGGCGAAGATTTCTTCGGCCACGTCCTGACAGACCTGGACGTTGTGTAGGAAACCAATGGACGGATCCGAAAATCTGCAGGAAACCATAGTTGTGACCTTTACCTATTGGTACAGTACACTGGGGTACCAGATTTAATGGAATGGAATGGAATGGAATGGGCAATATTGGGCAATCTGATGAAGGAGAAACTCAATTCCAAAACGACAACCTTGATGGTGAAAATTCTCTTGATGGTACTTGCTTGTTAATTCATTGAATTTATTGGTAGATATTGGTCGCTTCATGGTGAGTCATGATTCTTAGCATCCCGATCTTGGTTACGGACCAATGTTGATTGCTAGTGGTTTTGATGCTAGGTCGGTGTTTCTTGAGTGTATTGGTTGCCCTCCAGTCAACTACCACAGATACGGAAAATCCCACCATGAATTTTTCCATTTCCCAACGGGGAAATCTCATGGGATTTCCGCGACCGCGCACCTCTGCAGTCCACAGCTTGTTGACATCTACACTTCGCAGGACCTGCCAGGCTGCCAGGTTCCTGCGCCTCCTCAAAAACATAGAAAGTAAAATCCTACTAAAATATGGCAGTGTGTCAAAACCTTGTACCCTGGTGAACATCAAAATAGCTGGTAAATGGATGTTCATCCCCCTAAAAATGGTATCAATAGGTATTGATCCATACCCATATAGCGATAAATCACTATTCTATCTTTTTCAGGGTTTACCACAACAATTTACACCAACGAAATATGAGCAAATTGCACGCTTTTCTGGTGAATTTGACCTTCGACCAGTTCTGGTAATAAAATGCTGAGCAACAAGTCCACAAGCATTTTATTGATGCCCATGGAAAAAAAAACATAAAACTATGATAAACTAATATTCGTCCACCAGAGAAGAGGAAAAGAACCTATATCTTCACCCCAAACACACAGACCTTCCAGCGTCTCAGCTGACGTTCGCCACTAACAATTTCTACAATTTAAATAAATTTAGACAGATAGAACAAGCCAGGCAGTCATATATCAACCCATGGCTGACATTGAAATCCTCGTGACGAAGTGGTGAAAAATTCCTTTGATCATATGGAGGTTTCCCAAAACGGGGGGGACCATTATGACATATTCTGACCATGGTTTTCAATACTAAAACGGTCATCCATGACAGACTGGATGATTTGGGGGTTACCACCACCTGTGTGATCTCATCTTTGGTGATCCTGCCATCGTCATCCTGGGAAATCGGCTTGATGGGTGGTCCCGGACCACCGTTGGTCTGGAAATGGGCTACCCCCAAGAGAGTGAAGATCTGTCGGAACAATTACCCTCTATACACATACATTCAAAATTCAAAAAAGTGTTCCAGTGCTACGTCAGATTGCCAAAAGTCTTGCTACCGCCACACCACCAGCAACAGCCCAACTTCCCTGCAACATGTCGACTGTCCTGCACGTCAAAGGCCTTGAAGGCAGCCCACAGAACATCTTCCTGCTGCCACTGCACATTCGAAAACTGCCACTGCCATGGCTATGAATCAAAACCCAAAGGTGCCTTGGTGAACATTATGATTCAGCCCAGCACCATCCTGCTACATGAATTTCTTTTGAACAGAAAAGAACATTCATGGCCGCTCTCATTTTTCTGTGCAAACAGGTTTTTAATGAAAGTGATCCAAAATCAACTTTGCACAGAACTTTTGCCACACTTTTCCGCCACCTCCAGGCTGACGCGTTCGCCGATACCAGCTGCACAGAACTCGGTGTAGTCGATTACTCCCGAGCCATCCAAGTCCAATCTGCGCCATGCCGTGGTTGATATGATGCAAGTTATTATATGTTGATGGGACAATTATGAGTAGTCATCAAATTTAGGGTTACCCTATCGTCATTCGAACCCTTTTTTTTGTAATTAGGCTGCCCCTAAACCGAGAAGATCACTTCAAGTCTTGGGGGCTTGCTTCGGCCTGGCAAAGACCTGCTCAACATCCTTCACCTGCGCACTCTCTTTACCTGCCGAGATGTCAGCAATCTTGAAACACAACCAACAAAGTAAACGGAGATGAGTGTGGGTTTCTTGTCATGTATCTATGAGTAAAGTATGTATGTATGTATGTATGTATGTATGTAAGGTATCGGCTCAGACCGCCCCGTTTTTAGGAACGAGCTAGGTCGATTAGCCATTGCCTTAGTGGGGTCCTTGCGTCCACGACCCTACGGGCGCTGTTCTTTTGGTGATTGAGCAGGCGCCTTGTTTTGTACTACTGGTTGAGGGTGCACCAGTGGACACAAAACCCTGTCTTTGCATCAGCTGCCATTTACTTGGCCTTTTGCATTATTTGACCAACTGGCACTGCGGGGGCCGACGACCGGATAATTTACTACAGTGATTTTCCTGGGGTATTTTATTTGCGAGGTTTCCGCTGCTACGAGGTTTTCCCCATCAGCTGCCATTTGATTGGCCTTTTGGGTTGCATTTTCGATTCTCTGGGCGGTGTATTTTCGCTGGACACAGAGTTTCTTACATCAATTTATGTGTTCAATTTTGTTGATTTTATTGATCTTCACTATCGTGTTCGATCTTTGCAAAGATTGCGCCATCAATTTTGACGTTGAGAAGAAGGGCACGCCGGAGAAGAGCCCAAGCAAGGAAGAGCTGGTTTCTGCACCGTACTGGTGTTTTTCCCTTGAGTGCGAAGTCTCTCAGGAGGATACGCAAAACACTGGACAAGCACCACTCAAAGGATCCGTCCCTTTTACAGAGGATCAGTGCGACAATGGCAGATCTAGACAACTCTTTCCCATGGCATTGTGGCACATGCCACAGACTCAACAAGAAAATTCATACCACATGCCCCAAATGCAGCTCCCACTGGAGCTATGGCACCAGACATCGCACGACACCCAAGGAAGTGCCAGCTTATCACAGTGCAAGTTGGGATTCCTGGGGGAAATGGGAACAGGAATGGCAAAAATGGGAAGACGATCAGAAATGGCAGCAACAGAGGCCACATTCTGCTTCAAGACCCAGAACAAAGAGCCCAAGAATGCGAAAGGGCAAAGGCAAGGGATTCGACCACAGGGGCAAAGATGGAAAGGGCACTTCAGATTTTTCTGCACCTGCCTTATCACCATTTGCACCCCTGGCACCAGCGGTCGCACCATGGCCTTCACCGGAGACCACTACAACGGTATCATCCAGCAGTGCTTTGATGCCATCCATTCAATCGGCTCAGGATGTTGCAGCTATGGCAGAGGCCTTGAAAGAGGCTTACCCAGACGAGAAGGCGCGTCCTCAAAATGTCAAGGACATGATCGAGAAAGCAGAAAGGGAGGCAGTCAAAGACGTGACAAAAGGGCTCCATTCTGCTACAAATTCTCTCAGGAAGGCACAGAAAACGCTTGCAGAGAATACAGATGCCAAGCAGCAACACAGAGCCCAATGGGCAAAACATGTGAGCGAAGCCATTCAGACCTGGCAAGGACAGTTGCGGGAATACAAACGGCAACAGAATGTCTTCCAGGAAATCAACATCAAGGCCAAGCACGATATCGAGCTAGCCAGGAACACGATCCAGCTGCTCAATGCCAAAGCAGCGGGAACGGGACTGGAAGATACTCCCCTTGTGCCCAAAGTGGAGACAGAGGACTCAACAGAGGCGGACAAGGAGGAAGAGAAGCTCAAACAGACTATGCAAAATGTCCTGAGGAGTTGTGCACAGTCCTTGGGCATAGATTTGGACGCCCCGAAGATACCGGTGGAAGTCCAAGAGATCCCCTCCGAGGACGAGGCGCCAGCCAACAAGCGCCCACGTTCTATGGAACCCTTCGGTGGAGGAGCTGGCTCAGCTATGCAATCGTGAGTTTTGGCGGTGTACTCCCAGTTCATCAGAATGGGGTACATGGCGCCTGGCCATGCGCAGATTTGGCACATGATCGCCCATTTCTGCTTTCCGACAATGATGCATTCAAGCTGCTTCCATGGTCGCATTCTATTTGGGATGAACCTAGTTTTCTTTACCCATTTGATGCGGTGCTACGCGCACAATGCCTTGCGTTGTCTCTTTTTAGAGAAGATTCTGACTGTATGATTGGGTTGCTACAAAAGGATCATGATCTGATTGAGACTCCAGGAACAGCTATGCTTGCATCTTCACAACCACCACGCATTATTTCATCATTTCCACCTGAAGCGCTCAAGTCTTGCATTTCTCAAGGGTCTAGGAATTCTGTACATCGTTGTTTACATGTCAGTTTCCATGATCGCATTGATTTGCACATAGGCCTTGAAGAAGAAAACCAAATGAAGCATTTTCGGATTTGTGAAGATTTGCTTATGACATGGAATGAGAAACCATGGCAGTTGAGATCTCTACCTGACGATGATCCGCAGTCTTTTCAGGCCGTGTTGATCTCCAGGGAAGAGAAAATGCATTTCATTCACGCCAGGCTTACTGATGAATTTGAAAATATCCCGAGAAGAGTAGCTGCTGCAAGCACGGAACCGACACGGACCAATCAGGAACAGCCACGCCATTTTCCACCACCTGCCTTTGCCAATGACATTTTTGGCCTTCCAGGGTTTTTAGCATTGCCTCATGATTTTCTTATGGAAAACAGCTTTGTTATACGCACCTGGTATGTCCACCACTTCCATTATCCCAGATGGGTGGTGCCACGTCTGGTTGAACTGGACCATCGATGGCCAACCTGGCAAAGGGAGATTACTAGCGCATGGAGAGACATGATTCGCCGTGAAGAGGATGTTCAATTTTTCACAGTCATGCCTGACCCTGACCGCAGCTATATTCCTAGACAGGTTATTGCCGACGTGTTAGTAGTTCAGGGCATTGATGCAGACAGATTTGCAGGATTGCTGACAGTCCACCAGCAGACTGAGCAAGGACATCGCAGACCTTTTGCACTTGCAATTTCATTGCCAGATGAGGTCAGTGGGATGGGTTTGGCTGCTGCAGCAGATATTGCACATCTCTGCAACACACAGAATTGCAATTTCTACTTTCGTTGGCAACAGATTCCATTTAGTTTGATCCCGGCACATTACATGTTGGATGGGCATGGTTTTGAAGCGCATATCACCCCTAGGCCACGACAAGCCGCAACAAGTTCAGGTGCGCCTAGCCAAGATCCCCAGTCAACTGCTGCTCAGGGGAGAGCTCGAGAAGACCAGGATGCAGACAGTCATGAAGGACATGACTTCTCAGGAAGATCAGAGGAAGATGCACAGCCATCTGATCGTGCGACTGACACATCAATCCCGGATTCCCCAGCCCAATTTGAAAATTGGCAAGGGGTTCAGATCTATAGATTGGGTCGTCATGTAACTCACTGTTTTGTCAGATGGGGTACGTACAACTCTATTCTGCATGACATTGCGAGATTCCTTCGTGAACACTTACGAAATCTTGTAGGCATTCACCATGTTCAGACACCGCTTGCTGGCCAACATGAAGCAGAAGATTCGATCATTTTGCAGCATGTGGACGATCTTGCACCAGGATCTCTGGAACAGCTCATCATCTTGGATGTGGAAGTACACTTCCAACAGCCTGCCGAAAGTATGCTACGTGCGCCAGAAGTCTCTAGAAGAGTGCATAGGATTGTATCAAGTTTCCAGATCACATGTTTTGCGCTTGGCACGCCTAGCCAACTACTGCTTCCTCCAAGGGGATAGGTGCCTTGTTTTTCATAACAATGCTCTATGGCCAGAACAAGATGTGAGTGTCCACACGGTGCAGCATGGGTGTTATCTGAAGGTTGTAGCCACGCCACCTTTGGATCACACAGTTCCTACGGAAACAGCACTCAACTTTGCCATTTCAATTGATGATGCTGAAGGTAGCCAGACTAGGGACTGTACTGCAATGCCACGGAGCCAGAATTCTCTTGCATTAATGCAGACACATGCGAGTTGCAGGCCAGGGTTTGACCAAGATCGGAATCCCTTGCACATCCACCTTCACAGACATGCAGTTGGAGTTGACAGCCAGCTTGAGACTGACTACAACTGGCTTGATAAACTCGCTGACCGATTTAGTCAATTTGCTATGGTTGAGTGCTCCGATGAAGGACCTGTTGCGTACATTTCCACATGGTTTATTGACCACCTTCTTGCAGCGAGATGTGAGGCAAGCCGACCTGTGAGACTTGTAGGAAGTGAAGGCATGACATGGCGACAATTGATTGTAGATACATGGGCTGATAAAATTGACCCTTTTCTTGCGATCTCCTTTTCAATTGTTAAGCCACAGCCTCCAAAGGTTGAAACTGAATCTACCCTCCTGCACGTCCTCTTGGTGCAGCATGAATCACGGGCATCACATGCAGCAGGGCTAATTTCCTCCATAAGACAGGACATGAGTCACGCATACGTACAACATGTTGCAGTATCAACAGCCTGCACAACTGTACTCCGTCAAATCCTGCAGTTGGTGCGCCTTGTCGATCTGTGCGCTCTGCGTAGATGTACCGCCTGGTATGGACGCAGTGAGATAAGACCTGGCCACATTGAGGACCTTAGAGATGGGTTTTGTATTTTAGTGCATGTGCCACCGCAGGGTTGGGAAGAGGCACCTTTCCCGCAGCAACTCTGGACTCCTGGGATGGCTGCCGCGATGGACTCCCATACTGCTTCATTTGCTGATTTACAAGATGATGTGGCGTTTCTTCAACAAAACTCCAATGTCACCAGGAGTGCTGCTTCACACTTGATCAGTTGCAAACCAAGCCCACATGGCCCAGAGGAAGAACGAGGCTTCCCGGCCATCCATCCAAGTCAGGAACCCCAACAGTGGCGACGTCCACTGCATGATGGTGCCGACGATTGGATTGCTCCTATTGGGGAATTGTTTCCTTTGTACGGGATACTCAATGCATGGGATGATGAACGCCTTTTGCCTATCACGACTTGGTATATCCATCATGACAACAGGATTGCATGTAGGCGACCAAGAGATGTCCAACTCAGC